AAAATAAAATTATCTTGAAACAAAAAATATACCAGGAACATTTAGGGGAAAGAATTGTGTCCACAAACTCAAGCGTCAATTTTATTTAAAATGTAAAATCATAAAACCTAGGTTTTCAAAATTACAGTACTGAAAAATTCACTTACATTAATGAAATAATAATAATAATAAAGATTGAAGTAAGAAAATAGGTAGGGATTAAAAATGTCACAGTTTGACATTTTGCATAATACAAGAGAATAAGTTGAAGGTGATATTAGTGGCAGCAATGATTTTGAGTCTCCAAAGAGAGTTCATTAAAAAATCTTTGTTGACATCTAAATCCACGTTAAAAGCAAAGGCATGGAAAGAGAACTGGATGACTTTCAGAATCCTAGACTTCCAATTAGGAAAACCTCACCGAGAAGAGACAAAAAAGGACTTTGATCAGAGTTGGAATAGGAGATTTGTTTGCAGTTATTAATTGAAATAAACTGTGCAAAAAACACTAAGGAACGGAAATGTTTTCCTAGATGTGAATTCCTTATTGGTTAAAGACTGTGTATTCATTTTGTTTTGGGCTTTTTCCAAGTAGATGTGCCAAATATGATAACAAACACTCAAAGTGGGTAACAGCCAGGATCTAACAATCACAATGTGATCAGAGCAGAGATGCTGAAGTTTTAAGCACAGCAAAACAACACAGCAGAACAAAGGCCTCTACCTGGAGCAAATCTGAATCTGGAAACAAGATAACCAGAATGAAACCTGACTTGCACGTTTGCAACCGACAGTAATAATTAGCTGAGTAGTTATGAGAGCAAGAAAGAAACACTTCTGATCTCACAGGGGCAATATGCAGAAAAACATAGTTCAGGGAAGGAACATTGCATTGTCCCTTAGCAAAGCTCCTCTGAAAGTAAATTTAAGGATGATCGGGTAACCTCTCAAAGTTGAAATGCATATCTACATTTACCTACTGACATTTGCTACATTTGGGGTTTTTTTGAGTGAGTGAAGCTGCAGAGGTTGTTCAAACCAATTTGCAGGAGAGCTTGGTGACTTGCTGGGGAGTCATGCTACAGAGCAACCAAGCTAGGAATTCAAAGCCTTGTCATAAGTCCCCAAAATACTGCCAAGCTTTTCAGTTCTAACTGAGGACATTTCAGAACAGCAAGAAAAATCTGGATTCATAGTATAGACCTGACTCTCCTAAAATGGGACTCCTACACCAGTAACAGCCCTTTACACTGAATTTTTTACTTCTCAGCAATGAAGTTTGTGTCTATGATTTTTATATCTATATATCATTACAACTCACCCCATCCCTAAGACAGGACCTTATGTACCACTTCACTGAACAAATGCCTTCCTTTTAAGGCAGCAGGCAGCAACTGGAACCGAGGGGCAGCAACACCAACTCAGAGCACTCCTAGAGTCCCAGGAGAGGCACACATCGAGGATATGCATGATACCTCCTTCTGCCCATCCCTAAACCAGCTCAACATCTTAGTTCACAAATGGCAAACACAGCTCGAGCAGATGACTTTCAACTCACAGTCAAATGCACATGTTTTTAACACAACTGCTCTGGCAAGTCACAGCTTGGAGATTTGAGGACCATGTGTTGCACGCCCACAATTTAGACAAGTTCAGGAATAGTATTTTTTTACCTATTTAAAAACACTGGGTAGAAATCAGACCATTTATAGTGTAATGTTGGAGAAGCTATATATCAAGGAATTATTATGCAGATACCACAACCATTATTCAACAAAAAACTGGCAGCATCTACAGTGTGAACCCAGGGTTTCTGAGGGGAGAAGGGAGTTTTAAAAATTTATCAGAATGTTCTGCACACAAATGAACTTTCTCTGACATATTCATCATTTAATTTTCCTTTAAATGGGACTGGCAAGCTCTTTGACTAATGGAATGAACCAGAGATATGTTACAAAAGGTTTAGCAAGGCGTTCTCCACAATTTTCCAGTTGTGTCAGCACAATGAGTCTGACTGCATCCAGCAAGAGGCATCTCTCAAACACAATCCAGAGCTTCCACAGTCAAATTTACTCTCCTCAAGACCCTCCACAAGCATCAGCCTGTGGCTTCTGACTTCAGCTCACCAGGGTCTCTCTGCCACAAAGGCTGGTAGGTGTTGCTGCCTACAGCTCCTTTATCCTGCAGCTGCAAGAGACACAGCAGCAGATGAGCCAGTCCTTGGCCTTGGGCTGCCACCTGAGGAGGATGCTCACACTGCAGCAGCCCCCAAAGCAGGTCAGACAGCAGCTGAGCACACCTACCCTTCATCCTCTTAAGGTGTAGTGCATGCACTTTACACCTTCAAAAGTAAGAGTAAAAAGTTTCATTGCTCACTTTTCCTTCACGGAATCACAGAATTGCTCAGGTTGGAAAAGATAATATAAACCAACCACTAGTGCAGCACCACTGTGCTCACCACTAAACCATACCCCCAAGTGCCACATCCACATGCCTTTTGAACACTTTCAGGGATGGTCATTCCACCTCTTCCCTGGGCAGCCTGTTCCAATGGTTGATTACTCTTTTGGTGAAGAATTTTTTTTCTAATATCCCATCTAAATCTCCCCTGCCACAACTCGAGGCTATTTTCTCATTTCCTATCTCTTGTTAGTTGTGAAGAGAGGCTAAACCCCACCTGCCTCCAGCTTCCTTTCAGGTGGTTGYACAGAGTGATAAGGTCCCCCCTGAGCCTCYTTTTCTCCAGGCTGAGCAGCCCCAGCTCCCTCAGYGGCTYCTCCAAGACTTGTGCTCCAAACCCTTTGCCACTTCCATTGCCCTTCTCTGGACACTCTCTAGCACCTCAATGTCTTTATTGCTGTGAAAGGCCATTATAAACCAGTCTTAAGCCAATCACTTCCTTCACTTGGTGCTATATCTGGAGCACTATCATGAAGAAAGTTTGATTCCATTCACCTGGAAATGAGTTTTTACCCTTCTGTTAGCTCTGAAATTAATTTTATCTTCCTTTAATCAGTGCTTCTATTTAGGGCATAATGATGTTCCCAACTTGCTACACTTCAAATTAAATATTTTTCTTATAGTATTACCAAACCAGAATCAGTACAGTAAAATTCAGCTGTGCCACAGARCCACAGACTGGAGTAGGTMAGCAGGAAYYTCTGGAGACCATCCAGTCCARCTCCCTGCTCAAAGCAGGGTCATTCACAGAACACTGATTGGGGCCAGTGGAGTTTTGAGCAGCTCCAAGAATGGAAACACCACAACTTCTTTTGAAAACTTGCGCCAGTGCTCGACCTCTCTTAGAGTAAAAAAAGACTTTTCTTATGCTTAAATGGAATTTTTTATATTTTGGTTTTGTCAACTGTCTGACTCCATTTTCTTCAATTCCCTCATCAGGTAGCTCATGCACAGGGACAAGAACGCCCTGAGCCTTCTCCAGGCTTTACAACCCCAGCTCTCTCAGCCTCTCCTCACATATCACACGATCTATTTCTTAATCATCTGTGCCCTTTGTTGGGACTCATCCCAGTGAATACATATTCCTCTTGCCCTGCAGAGCCCAGCACCAGACCCAGCACTCCCAGTGTGTCCCACCCAGCACTGAGCAGAGGGAAGGATCATCCCCTCGACCTGCTGGCATTCCCCTGAGGGCAGCCCAGGAGGCTCTTGGCCTTCTTTGCCCCAACAGCACCTTCCTAGCTCACGTCCACCACGACTTTGCTGCCAAGCTGCTTTCTAGCAACCTGTCCAAGTGTGGGGTTATTCCTTCCCAGGAACTGGACTTTGCATTTCCCTTTGTCAAAATCCACTGGATTCCTGTTTGCCCTCTACTCCAGCCTGCCCAGATCCCTCTGAATGGCATTACACCCATGTGGTGTAACAACCACTCCTTCCAATTTGGTATAATCTGCCAGCGTGAGAAGAGGGCACTGTCTTACCCATAAAGTCACCAATGAAGCTGTTAAGGGGTACTGGAGTCAGTATTCACTCCCTAAAGCACCCATTAGAGACTGGGGTCCAGCTGGACTTTGTGTCACTGATCACAACCCTCTGAACTCAACACTTCAGACAATTTTCAGACCACCTCTCTCTCAGCTTATCTAATCCACATTGCACCAGWTTGYCAAGGAGGATGTTATMAGAGACACTGGCAAAAGCCCCAAGGCATGTAACATCCACTGCTCTTCCCTCAACCTCCAGGGCAGCCATCTCACTGTAGGAGGTAATTAAGCTGATCAAGCATGCATTGATCAACCTACAAAGAGCACTTTGTAAATCCATGTTGTCTACTCCCAATTACTGCTTAGTCTGTCATATATTAAAAAACAGTTTCCAGAATTATTTGCTCCCCACCTGCTCAAAAGATTGAGATGCGTCTGGCTGGTCTGTTGTTTCCCAGATTCTAACTCCTGCTTTTCCTGAAGACAGGAATGAACCTTCCTTCCTCCCAGTCCTCAGAAACCTCCCCTGACTGACACAACTTTTTGAGGAGCTGAGAGTGGACTCACAATCACATTGGTCAGTGATGCATCCCCATCACACTCCACAGACTTCTACTCTGTTCAAATATTCCCCATTCTGATTCTCCTTCACAGAGGGTAGGCTGCTCAAGGCTTTTCCATTGGTCTCAGATGCCTTGGATTCCAGAACTCAATTATCATCAGTACAGATCAAGGCGAACAATACATTAAACATCTTGGCCTTTTCCATGCCCTTTGATACCCAGTCTCCTGACCCATTCAGCAGTGGGATCATGGTTTTGGTCTCCCCTTTTTCACTAATGTGCCTGTAGAAGGCCTTTCTGCAGCCCTTCCCACTCGCTGCCAGATCCTGTTCCAGAAGCCTCTTGGCTTTGTAACTCCACCCCTGCATGCTTGGACAGYRTCTCTGTATTCACACAATTAAAGTYTCCWATATATAGCTACATTACAACGAACTTCTTTTTTTTAAGAAAGCAAGTAACAGAACAAAACATTTCAAATTTTCATTGCAGGCRTGGGGTCTTGAGCTGCACTCACCCGATCTGTAGCGCTCATCCCGTGACCCTGAGGACCTGCGACGGTGATACCGAGAGGACGAGGACGGAGTGACAGGAGTTCGACGTTCCTGTGGTAACGCCTGGTCCACCCCTGCATTAATGAAAAAAAAAAAAAAACCAAACAGCTCATTCTGATTGAATTTTGGAAGATTTATAGTGAGGAAGAGTTTAGCATACTCTAGGAGCAGCAAATGAACGTTCAGTGCCTAAAGCACGCCGTGTCAATTGGTTACACACTACTTGCCTCTGGTCAGCTTTTCTGGTGCGGATTTTTTTCCTGGTACTCTCTAAAAAACCCTTTTTCCAGGGTCATGGACAGCACAGAAAGAGCAAACACACAGTAAGCTTGGCAATTTTTTTTATTTCCACAAACAGATGATTTTTCATAAAGTAGTATTTAGGATGAATTTTAATGAGCTAATAAAGGCAGACACCATTGCAATGGATATKGAAACTTTCCTGCAAATTGGTTCCTAGGAAAACTTAGATGGTTTATATCATCTAAAACCTCATCTGGTTGGATGGTGTCAGCTGGTGACAACACAATACTAACTTGTGGAAACTAGTTCCTGTGGGATGGGAACTACAGTAATTATCTATAGTCATTTTTATCTACTAGTGGTCAGAAATTAAAAAATAACTGCACCAAGCCAGGCGGAAAAGTGACCTGTTCCAGCAAAACAACAAAAATAGTCTTGCAAATCTGCAGCATTTTAGTATGCTGGGCCTAATCGTCCAGTATTTTAAGATTCAGTTATTTTACAAATCCCTTTCCCATGGTGAATTTGCTTTCTTTTTCTTTAATAGTATTTTCTTGAAGGCTTCTTAAACTACAGCAGGAATATAACAGCAGCATCACACATAAACACTTCTAGAAACTGATGTTCCTTGACAGCTTCCAGAAAAGAGTGAAGCCAATGACTTAAGCAGGAAAATTTTAAACAAGCAATAGGAAAAGAAAGCAAACCTGCATCTGTAATAGTGGCATGATGGTGCCCTGCTCTCCTGCAGAGAAGAACYTGAGCAGACAAGCCCAGCTGATGTGTTCAGCTTTGAGCTAACACAGCACAGAGCCTTGGGCATGTGATGCACAGGGTGCAGAACCAGGAGTACCTGACAAAATTAAATTGATTYTTTCCTACGATTTTTTGCCTTTAAGAAGGAGTTACACACTACATGTAAYTGTAAGAACAGAATAAAACTGGCCCCTTGCACTAAGGGTTCAAATGTAGGACTAATAACTTGAAATTGGAGTCAACAAAACAATGTTTGGAAATATGCTCATATTTTTCAATTAAAACATAATGCAAAAACTCTCTACTACTATTTCTGAACAATTCAATGCCAGCTTATTGGAGAGGGATAAGAGTTCACATTTTTGGAAACAAGAATTTTAATGTAGATTACAGACCAATTGAAAATCCTGTGATTACTTCAATCAGTCTCAGTTAGGTTTCRATGGGCTCTTTAAAAAACATCTTTTGAAAAAAGTTGGCATTGTATGCTTATTTCTTTGTGAAAATAAACTACACTCAAAATCCAGCTTCTCTCTTAAATCTTTGGATTATCAGCAATGTCAAGTCTGCTTTGATTTTGTGGAGAAATGGCTGGTTGGCTAAAAAACATCCTTGGAGTAAAATCTCATAGGCACCTAAAAGACAGAAAGAATCCATAAATTTTCCTCCACTCAGATTGTGATTAATAATTCACATACTGAAATCAAATAAAATGCCTTCATTTAACTCCTCTGTCTCCACGCTATAGCACTGTATAACTTTACTTGCCCTCACTTCCCTTTATATTCTTTAAGTCAGGTGAACCTGACTTCTAAATCCCTGAAATAATCAAAATAAATAATTCTCCTCACTTTTATATATCAAAATAAATACTTTCCTCTCACTTTAATATTCAGAATTTTTCCTTCTTTATCCAGTCACCCTGAAAATAATCAATGCATGGTTAATAACAAAATTAATTTTGACTGAAATTTTTCCCAAAATTATGTTTCAGTCTCTGTGAGATGCTAAGCACCATTATTCAACTCAGTCCCTATCTACATCGTCAGGAACGAGATAATTTCTGGAAACCACATACATTCACAAAAATCCTAAAAAAACCACACCCACAAACTGTACACCCAGCACTGCTGTTGTGTGACARGGGTTTTGTGAAGAAAGTGCCACATTTCCCATGGCAGGTGACTTGAGTAGGACAATGGCATGTGGAGAACAACAAACAGATAATTGAGGTGTTGCCACTGCAGTACAACACCATGATGATACAGGAAAAAGGGATTAACTGCATCTTCCAAACAACAAAACCATGGGCAATAGGCTTTAGAAACACTGAGGGGAATTAAATTTTGAGGAAAAGCATCCATTTCAGAGGTGCAAGCTGCTATAGGAGCGAGTTCCTTCAGGTAGACCTGAAGGCCATTGGACAAAATTCATTCAAGCCTGTGGTTACTTTCTCCTGGTTTAGTGACTGAGACATCTCGAGGACTCAATCCCTTTTCTGCAGCTGTGGGCAGTGCACACTGATCTTTTCCCAGGTGTAAAAAAGACAGTGCACATAAGGTAACATCAAACACTGCCCCTGCCATGGTAGAAGACAGCAGGACACACAACTGGCCAAGCAGCACTGCTGCCCACAGCAACCCCTGACACTGCCAAGGGCTCTTCCCTCCTCAGCTCACTATGGAGATCATGCTGCTGCTACCTGTTCTCTCAGAAGTCTCTCATCTAAACTTAAAACTGAGACACCTTAGACAGTTTTATTTCCTTCCACTTTATATGAATGTGTTCTTTTAAGTAACTCAGTTCTGACCCAATGGGCAATATCCATTTTCTTCATACAGTCAGAAAACAGAGTCCCAACACCAGCAGTCTCTAGGAAGGCGAAACAGCAAATGTGAATATCAAAATGCCTTGTTTATTTATGAGGTCTGGGGGATTATTGGATGGTTTTTCTTTCCCCCTTCCCATATATATAAAAGCAGTGAACAAACCTCTACCCGAGTGTGGAGCAGGATATGTGAACTTGGCTCATTAACACTGATTAAAATGAGGACGTTAATGGTGTGTTAAAGTACAGAGGAGACGCTCTCCATCAGCCACCTGTGGGGACACCTGTTTGTACTAAGTTCCTCTAAGGTGAAAAAACAGAAAGCACTGCCCCACTTTGGAAAGGCAGCAAGGAACTGGGTGACAGTTCTCTACTGAAGGGGCTGGAGCAGGAATTAGCTGAATTGCCTGGACTTATGTCTTGGCTTCCTGGGCACCCGCTGGCTCCCATGGCACCAGCCATGGTGTGAGACAAAGGACACAATAGAAGAACCTACACACTGCCATTCCTGAGCGATGGGTGGGAGTAAAAGCCATGCAGAATAATGAGCACCATGAAATCAGTGAAGTGCTGCCACAATAACAAAGCGGTGTTCACAGCTGAATTGTTCACCTCCATGAAGGCTCGAGCAGCGTACTGCAGGAAAAAGAACGTTTTTTTTTACTTCTATTTCTGAACATAACTAAACCCAAAAAATTGGTAGCTTTCACAGCCAGCACAAGGGCCCGTGAATTAAGCGCTAATGCTTGCTCAAGCACAGCTTCGCTCAGATCCGTTTGTGATTTGGTGGYGTAATGGCTTGAGAATCCATATTTGGATCGATTCCTAAATTTAAGGAGGTGGCGAAGTAATGAATGGCTTTTCTAAAAGAAAGGACAGTGTCATGACAGTGCCCTGTGCACAGACACATTCACAGACACTGTCAAAATGGCATCATTGTTTTAATAGTCTTGCAGCTGAAGCAGGACTTTTAACAGGTGAGTGTGATCAGTACCAGTGACCGACTCGTTGCAAGCCATGAAGAATTTCAGCAAAATATGTATGCCTAGGACACATTTTATATAAAAGGCTGAGAAATCCGTGCTTTATGGTCATCACATGACACACAAGTATCAGCAGGTGGTCTGGAGCAAACAGCCATGCACCTAATACAAGGTAAAACTCCTAATGTAGGATTCAGCTTGCAGATAAAATGTAGATGCCTAGAAGATGGTGCTTAAAATAATCTCCCACTATGAAAAACAGAGACCTAGACCAGAACTCAGAATTCTAAACCAAGGTGTCCAATTTCTTTACAGATATTGTGAACAATGATACCTGGCTTGACACCTTCAAGTCCTATTTTACGTGAGCATCATCACTCTGTGCAGATATCTCGTGTACTATAGGAAGTCCTGAACAGTATCAGACACCCATCTTCAGGCAACTCCACAAGTCCAGTGAAGCCTTGAGAATAGTGCAAGTGGTCAGTGGAAATATCTGCTTTGGAATGAACTGAAGAGCTCTCTGAGTTTCAACAACTGAATTAACTCTCTCTCTTCATATAAGAATGGAAGCATAAATATATCATTCATAGGCAGACAACTTAATGCAGATATATCAATCCACAAATCCTAATCTTCAAGCTGGATCCTGTCTTGACTGCATTTAGCTAAAAATGCAAGTGCCTTAGTAAACTATTCAAGCAATACCACTGCAAGCTGGATAGCTTTATTTTTAAGTGCATGGAATGTACAAAACTGTCAGCTGGAAGCAGGTTTCAACTCTTTTTCTTTTTTTTTGCCTTCACCTCTTTGTTCCTCCCTTCTTTATTACTCTTTTTGTAGCTAGATTGCAACACTATGCCCTGATAACATGGCAATAGCTGCATTGCCCTCTCCARCAGAGGACAATTGTTTCCTTAATGACAGCTGACAAGCTGCTTTGATGTATCTCTTATTCCTGCATCTGTGTGAAATTTTTKAATCTAAAAATATTTAAAAGCTGAAATGTCTAACTGACAAGCAATAGAACGCATTCTTAGACACAGGCTACAGTTATTGTTCTAAAACAAACTTACAGTGTGTGCCCCCAGGAGAGAGAGCTGCAGGATAAACCAAACAACTCCAGGGCCAGRGGGAAGGAACTCAAACAGTGCTTGSAGTGCAGTTGTAAGAAACAGTATTTGCCTTCCCTTCACAGTGTTTCCTGAGCTTCTATACAATGGCGGATGGCTCAGCTTTGAAAGCAAAGCCAGGTGATGAACACACCGTGTRTTTTGTAAACAGGCTAAATGTCACACAATCCCCCTGGAACTCGTTACTTAGCRTGGCATTTCACTCTTCCCATCAAAYGTTCAACGAGGTAATGAATTCACTGGATAAMCCAAGGGAGATTTAAAATGCAACACTTCTAACCAAAGACATCCAGCAAAGTAGAGCCRCTTTCTGCTAGATAAATCTGGAAAAATGTAATCTCTGATTAGATTTGTTTAATTAAAAACTTTTCCATCACAWGTGAACTTACTCTTGGTCCTGATTTAAAACAATGCACATACTTCAAACTGATCTTCTTTCCTTATTACAATCTCAATTTTGCCTTCCAGCATTTCCTTGAAAGGTTTAGCTTTCAGTTCAAGCTTGGCATGGCTATCATGGGCTTYTTTTTTCTCTCCTTTATCCCAGTGATGGTGGACATCACATTACAGCTCCACTGCACACGTGATTTTGATTTCCATTTTCCTTCAGACAGTCCCACAACTTCAGTATCCCATCTGAAGATTCCTTTTGGAGAGTATGTAGAAGAAGAGTACTAATTCACAYAGCAAACATATTCACCCATGGGCTRGTCAACTCACACTGCAGAYAAATTTGGGCAGCATTGTGAATTCCAGGAGTTTCTCRTTTTGACACGGCACCCAGCTCTTCAAACACCTCCACAGGCTCTCTCTGAGTGAGACTCCTTTCCTCACACATTTGTGAGGTTTTTGACCAACACTTTTATGTGTTCTTATTCTCTATTCCCTATTCTCTTATGTTCTGCAGATGGTCTCCAGGAACTTCCACARGTATTTTCTTGGAAATCTTCAAATTCTTTGAGAAACACAACAACTCTGATGTGTACTAAAAATATCCWCCCCTCAGAAAACATCACACCAAATGCTGAAATCACTACTGTATTACTAATTGAYACTCATTTCTTCCCTTGCAACCTTATTTTAGCCTTACTCAGAGTGAAAAGTGAAGGAAGGTGTATTTTGCTCTGTGTTTGAACAAGGTTTGATATTTCGAAGTCTTGGTACCGCACAGGAAACCGAGATGCCATCAAAAACCCAAGAATGATAAAATGGTGACTGGGCTTTCAGCTGTGATAGCAAAACAGACGCAGTAACCATCAAACTGTAAGTGATGGCCTCAAGGGATAGTCCTCAGATGCTTTCAGTACCTTCCTTTTTAATTAAACTCAGCTCTGCAGGCATCCACCAATCCAAAACCAAACCTTTTTTTTTAACCCAAGACTTACTAAGCTTTTGCCTGTGTGCTATAGTTTCTCATCTGTGAAACACCTCTCACAGGTTTCAGGGATGTGCCCACGTGCTGTGTGATGCACACGCCTCTCAATGAGATCTGTGTCCTCAACACACATCACGCTTTGAAATGCCCCATCATGGTTATCCCTTGGTGAGACCTTGGATAATTAGGAAGGCAGATGTGACAGGAATACTTGTTAGTATTAATRAAATAATGAGAGCATTTTTTTCAGAATCAAGTTTTGTTTAAACATTTCTTTGCATTCTTTGCAATCCAAATAATGTTGCAATACAAATAATTTCTGTGGTAGAGAAAATGAAATTGTAACCACTAAGTTTACTTGGAGTGTCTGAAGAGTCAGCAGCAGGAATAGTTTGAAGCGAAGGCGTACACACATACACACAGGAAGTATGCAAATACATGCACAGATAACAGATAAATGTTAATATAYGTGTCATGCTAATGAGAGAGGCTATGGAAATTGGTTCCTGTAATTCTGCAGAAAATTGCTTCTTCATGAGGTAAAGGGATCTTCTGTGCAAATGTATTATCTTTCCTGCCCTGAATAGCTTGAAATGTTCCCAAGCTGGTGCTGTTGGGGCTCCAGCAGCAGGAGGTGCAGGGATCTGTCTCCAGGCCTCTGAAAGSAGCAGCAGGTGCCTTTTAAGCACCACATCTCACAGATTTATTAACCATAATAAATAAAGCACTGATGACTGGTCCACATGGTTACACTACAAATAGAGCTGCACTGGTGGTACCAATCATGGGAAATTACAGAAAACAATCTAGTGGAGACACAGCACTTGATTAAGAGCGAATGAACCACCCATGTCTAAGCTGTTAGGAGCAATGCTTAATTGATAACAACATTGTCTCTGTTCTGTGAAAGAATAATCAAATTTCCTGGCAAAAGACTGGAAGCAAATTGGGCAAAAACACAGCTTATTGGGAATGCAGGTAATTTAGTTTTTTTCTTCAAGGGAGGTTTTCTCTTTGATAGTGTGCATGCAGCTGTCCATGTTATCTTACCCAGCACTGACTGATCGAATCAAGATAATATTCAGAAAGTTATTCTGAAATAAATCCCTGTTTAAGTGGTTATTTCAGCTCTTGGCTGTCATGGCTCCTCCACAGAGGCAGTAAGAAAAAGGTCATTGCACAAGAGGGACTGGAGTATATGTACAGATATAAAGGTCTGGATTCACTATAATTTTTAGATGTCTGACACACGGGCACGCTAAGACAAGAAAAACTACTCTGCACACAGAACATCTCCAGCTCCAAACTMACATCCTGAGAAAGCATCTTGAGGAAACAAAGCTGTACTTTTGTCTCCCTGACTTAAAGCAGGTGGGGATTTAATGGGAAAGAAAAAGGGGGCTCCCCCCATCCCTTCTCCCATTAACACTGCCAAATGCAGCATATCCGTTCCGGATTTCTGGATGTTGGACAGCCCGGCTGGAGCAGTACAAATGTCCTTTGCATATGTGCAGTCTGTGCAGCAYCTGGATGTGTCAGACCCGCTGTGCATGCACTGCAGAGCTGGCCTGCAGATGTGCAGTGGATCTGGCACAGCCCCGTGTGTCACCGCACGTTTGCTGTACAGCATGTGACAGTGTGCACTCTGGGATTGTCCTGTCAGAAATGGGGAGCTGAGAGCCAGCTCCTACATCACCTGAAGGAGTATCAGCCACGTGGTGGCCTGGCTTTGCCCTTCATTAATCCCACTCCTGAAAAGTAACAGCCTCTCCCTTTCTAAAATGACAGCATCCCAATATGCATGATAAAAATACCATGTATGTATGTGTGTTCATATATGTCTACCGCCCTTCTCCTGGTTACATTTATCACATGGTTTTATATCACTAATACTGTTAAACCTGAAATTACAATTTACATTTAATCCTTCCCATTTTGCAAAAATCTCAGGCAGAGGAAGTTCAGCATGTCAGACTGCGGGAATCTGTCTTAGAGCAGCCTCGTGTAAGAGGAGAAACACAAACACAGTCARAATGTATTATGGATCTCCTCCATAGTATTATGGCAAATTGGTTTGAAAGTGAGAGGAGAAGGGTTTCTGAAATAGGTTATTTTTACAGATACATCTTGTCCTGAGAGAACTGCAAATTTATCTACCCTCTAACCATCCCTTACACCATGTCTGGACAGCCTGTGCGAGTGTGGACAAGCAGGGAGGCAAGAGTGTGATGTTCTCCATGGCTGGCAAGAGAAAATCTGGTATCTTGAGGGCCTGTGGATCCTCTGCAGCCTTGCTACAAATGCAGGGAGTACAGCAGAATGCCTGCCACCAGCCACAGGTCCTGCCAGAGGGATGGGTACATGGGAAGGGCATGGTTCTGCAGGCACAGCTGGCTCCACACTACAGAGATGGAGCCCTGCAGAATGTTCTTCCTTCAGTCTGCTCTACCAGCCTGAYGCCTGTTCCTAAAAGTCAGTCTGCTTCTGAATGGCTTGGATGTGAGCAGAGCTCAGGCAGAGATCCCTACCTGGAAACAGAACTAGGRGTGCTTAGATTTTTACAGCTTCCTCTGGAATCTGGTGAGCTTGGGCCTGTTAGAGCTCCGTAAAAATGAAATGCCAAAAAGGGAATTAGGAACACATGCCTTCCTGTGTTTCACCAGCTCCTCCAAAGTATCCATGGTATGGAAGCTGGAGAAGTCTTAACACCTTCAAATGTTACTAAGAAGAGCTATTCCTTCACCCTTCCCATCACTCCACTGTCAGGCAGACAAAGATGACCGTTCCAGATGTCACCCTTTGGTTGTCCTGCCCTGCAGCTGGCAGCCCCGTGCCCACCCTACTGACGTAGGCGTCTACCAGAGGCTTCCAGACGAGGCACAGTTATAGACAAGATACCGACTGGAAAAGATACATATGATAACATTCCCATATTCATCGTGCTCACCAAAACGAAAATAAAAGAGAGGCCGGTTTCCTGCAGTGCTGGCTGCTCTCTCTCTAGCGGCCGCTTCCCGGATGTCACAGACACCAATGTTGGCAGTGCGGAGCATTCTTCTGGCAGCTCCTTCACTGTGTTGCAGTCTACACCGTACYGCGGCAGCTCCATTCGCTGCTGTAACAAGTTGAAAAAAACTAATTAATTCACGTTTAGTTTTTTTACATTTGTTACAGCAACGAGTGGAGCTGCTGCCCCCATGCAGTAGAGCACACACGCACACGCACGCACAGACACCACAGGACACCCACGGAGCCAACGCGGGCCGATGTTCCACTCTGCCAACATGGGCCTTAGGAATGTTAGCAAAGGTGCAGCGGGAGGACTGGATGTCCCAGCAGAGGGGAAACGCCTTTGGATTTCCTCTAGTTTGTTGAAAGCAGTCACAGAATGCAAATTCCCACCCTTTCCCAACGCCTCCGATCCCAGCGAAAGTCATGTCCGTTTCCATACYGGTTTAAAATAGCTCTAAAACCTCAATCCCCTTATAACACCAAGATCCAAGTCCATCAAAGCTTATAAATTGTTGCATTCCCCATCAAAACAGGATACAAAAAATTTTTTTTAGAAAAAGGCTAACTGCTCATGTGTGTTATTGTTGAGATATTAACAGAGGCCTACAAAAGGCAGCATCTTTTTTGTGATCCTCCTTCTCCAAAAGCATTTATCTCCCCCTTCCTAGTGAGCAGGGACTTCAAGCCATTCAGATGAGTAAAGTCTTAGAAGGATTATATCAAATGGAACCCTTTCAAGTTTTGTCCAAAAAGGTAACACAACAAAACAAACAAAAASTACAAAGACAGCAAAAGACCCAAGCACGAATAGTATCCGTTTCTGGAGGAAAATACTTTGATACAGTAGAAGCAGTGTCTTCCACTATAGTAAAATAATTCATTTAGCTATCAGCTAAATGATTGAGCTCAATATATTTACAAAAAAACAGTAGGCAATATTTCAATTTTTTTTTTCCTGATCCTATTGTAATCTTCCTTTACTTACCCTTATTCCACATTCCTCATGTGGGATTTTCTGGCAAATGGTTGAGCAGAAAA